CCTTATTTCAATTAAATTATTCCATTATAATGTACATCCGATTTTTATTAATTATTCATCAGGCTGTTCAATTATTTATTTATCTATTTACGTTCGTATTTTTGGCCATCACCGACCATTTCATTCATTTCTGGTACAGCCAACATTTATGATATGACTAGACGCTCCTCTTCCCCAACTGGGATTATTATCAATATTATTATCATCATTATTATCATTATCAAAATCTATTAAACAGAAGGCAGACAGGCCTCCATCTTATCAGTGGAACCATCGTAAACAACGTAGTGTGTGTCAGAGACGTTTGTAACCACGACGGCCGCGTACAACAACGAAAAGTATGTGGTTATCAGTATACCAAAGTTCATGACGACCAATCAATAAGAACACAAGGAAGGAGAGTGAGCCAACGAGGAGCGTCTCTGTGGTGTGTGTGTGTGTGGTTTCCCAGGTGTGTTTTTCTCTAGTACATTATAACGGGTTAATCAAGAGTGCCCGTGTGTGTGTCTCACCTGTCCGCCAGTCAGTTAGAGTGATGGGTTATCAAGCAGTGGGCGGCGGGCTAAACCAACTCCAGCAGCACCAGCAACGGCCCCGCTTCGTCTCTCATCAAAATTTCATGTTCAGTATTTCGGTCTCAAGAGCCGTACTAATCAATGCTCTAAAATTGTGTTATCAGTTAATTAAATTTCGAGCCGTCACATCAGCACTTGTGATGACGAAACTCGCAGCCCGTCTTGATAATTTTGTTTTCGGCATTTTTGGCTTTCCAGAAACAATACTAATTGATGTTCCAATTTGTGTGATGATCAGTTAATTAGTTTTCGTGTTTTGAAGCCTATTTTTTTTCATCATTAATTTAAAGCACGTGTAACAGAACATGAAAATATGAGCGATTCCCTAGGAAAAACGTCCCCCCCCCCCACCAGTGTGTTGTCAAGTCTCGCGTACGTCACTCGCCTCTCCTCCTCCCTCCTCCTCCATCTTCTCCTTCACAAATGTATTTTTTCTTTTTACGGAATGACGGGGAATACAAAACAACAAGAGCAGGGCGTCAATGGAACAACTTTCCGATTTATCGCAAAGCGAATGTGTTTGTTGTTGTTGTGGTTGTTCTAGATGTTGTTATTGTAGTAGTTGTTGCTATTATAGTGTCTGTGTTGATACGATCATTGTTTCTCAGAGGTTCTTGGGGTTGTGTTAACGGGGTTCCTCACATGCCGCTGCACCTCAATGTGCCAACACACCTGTCAGGCACCGCACGTGGCGCACAACTGTCAAACGGTACACGTGGCGCATCCGTCACACTCACTCCACATGTGGAACACCCGTTGAGATTTTTATGTAGCACATCTGTCAAAAGCTGCACGTGGCACACCTGTCAAGCACTATACCAGAAGCAAGTGACAAACCTGACAAGATCTGCACGTGGCACTCCCCTCAAGCTAAATGAGTGGCACACCTGTTCGGCTGTAACAGAGGCGCACTTGGAACAAATAACACACCTGATAAGATATAAGTAACGCACCTGATAACTTAAACACCTTACATACCTTGCAAGTGCGTCATGTTCACTGCGCGTATCCACATCTGTCGCTCTCCATTCGTGGCACATCTGTCAAGGTAAAAAAGGCAACTATTACCAGAAAACGTAGTTGTGTATTCACTACCTATCTATCTGATTTAAGATGTTTCAGGATATCGCATTACTGAACAATCAACCAGCTTAAATTAAGCATTCCTAACATTATTCAAACCTAAACTGAACTTACTTAACCTAAACTAACCAAATCTAAGCTATTTATACATACTTAACCCGAATTACCCAGTTTTAACCCAATCTAACCTACTCTTACTTAAATAATGTAATTTTTTCGAATAATAGCTGTTTGAAAGAAGAATTAAAATGCGATCTTTCACACTCTCCGTAAGTATCCTCTAACACGTGAAGGAAGTGAAGAGGGTTTTAGTCCTCAGGCAGCGAGAAGAAAAGTAGGCAGCCTAGAGAGACAGAGACAAAGAGTAAAAGAGAGAGAGAGTAGGAAGCAGAAGCCTCTTTAGAAAGTAAGAAGCCGAGAGAGAGAGAGAGAGAGAGTGTGTGTGTGTGTGTGTGTGTGTGTGTAGGAAACCCCCTGGTGTCCTGGACGAGAAGCCTCCTTGACCCCAACTAATTGAGGTACTTGAAGGGGGTCACCAGAACTGAGCAGCAGTTTAAGACATAGAACACAGTCTTCCTCATTAATACGAAGGAGTCGCTTGTGCTCTTCACTTTGGGCCTCTTCAACCCCCTTACGTGTTGACTGTAGAGGGACCTAGCTGGTGACATGTATTTTACTGACTACAGTGAAACATCATCAATGAGATAGTAGGAAATTTTATTTATAAGGAGAATTTACTGGTGAATTGTAATAATAAATTCGATTTTTGAGAGAGTTAATGGTGAATATAAACAAAAAATTAAGAGAATGAGGAGTTGGTAATATATGTGTGTGTGTGTGTGTGTGAAAGAATGGATAGAGATTGAAATTTTAGCAGTTTATTCAGGCGTTGTTATGTGATAAGAAGTAAGATAACTCTCAATTTGCACTCAACTGATCTTGCTCTACACACGGATCTGATCACTCCATTTCATTTAGTTTTATTTCATCAAATCAGAAGCAATAATGAAGTTCCTTATTCAGATAAAAAAAAAAATAATTATAGATACTGTTGACCCGAGGAGAGTTAAGAAGCCTGTTCATAGTTCAGGTCACGTCACAGCTGCCGGCATACAAAGAATGATGATAACACTGCAGTTACAGATGCTGGTATATATATATAGGTATACATGTGCAGGTATAAGTACAGTACAGGGACAGATACAGGTGTTTTAAAGTGATAACTGTACATGAACAATGAACACTGGCCATAATCAATGTACATGGTTATATATTCTTGTGCATACAGACAACAAAGACACATGTTCAATTTGGAGGTGTACATTAGGTGTCGCGCACACACACACACACACACACACACACACAGGAACTGAAGGTACATACCAGGTGTGTGTATGTGTGCTCATGTTCCATTTACAATGATGTATTATTCAGTTGGATCCCCTTGTAGTGTCAGTCAATGCTGCTTGTCTCGAAGTTTTAAAATCTCACTGCGGACAACCGAGACCTCTGACTTGAAACCAACACTGTGACTTTCCTTTTAACTTTCACGATAGTTTGATCTACAGGAGTGAAAGGTGAAAGAAAGTATGGCAGACTGAGACAGGAAAATATTGGGTGAATAAGTGTGAAAAGTATTAATGATTAAATTTATCGACAAGAATGTAGTTTGTCTGATTGATTGAGGATGGTTTTGTGTTTTTATCTATTTACTTCCCTATTTATCTACATTCATATATCCTCTTCTTCCTATTTCTCTTTTGTTTATTTGCCTCTCTCTCTCTCTCTCTCTCTCTCTCTCTCTCTCTCTCTCTCTCTCTCTCTCTCTCTCTCTCTCTCTCTCTCCCCTCCTCTCTCTCTCTATTATGTATGAACATAATCACGAGGAAGTGTGAGTCAAGTGTTCTCCCAAACACTCGATCACAAATTCTTTCGCAAACAAGCACGAAAATTTATATAAACATACATAAATATGCACGTACACACACACACACACACACACACGCGCGCGCGCACACACACACACACACACACTTGGTATTTCCCATGACGCGGGTGTTACATCTCCCTGATAAATATTATATAGTTATATGTTCTTATTTTGTGTAAGTTTATCATGCAAGTGTGTAGTGTGACGGGGCGACGGACACGAAGGTCTCTATACCAGTCACTATCTCTTTCCGTCACCCCCACGTCACTTCCAACTCAGTCAGCGTTATCTTCACGTCACTCATCGTCACTATACGTAATTCTCTGTCACAACCACCTCAGTCAGCGTTATCTTCACGTCACTCATCGTCATTTTCCCGTCACTCTGCATCACCCCACGTCAGTTAGTGTTACCTTCACGTCACTCGTCACGACATGTCACTCTCCATCACCCCACGTCAGTCAGTGTTACCTTCACGTCACTCGTCACGACACGTCACTCTCCATCACCCCACGTCAGTCAGTGTTACCTTCCCGTCACTCTCCATCACCACACGTCACTTTCCGTCATCCAACCTTAATCGTGTTACCTTCACGCCGCTCATCGTCACCCCAAGTCACTCAGTCTCCCTCCAGTGTCACTCACCACCACCGCAAGTCACTCAACTTCCTTCAGACAGATAACTAGTCGAGTCAAGATATATTACTAACACTACAAGACAACAACAGTCCCTCATGAAACACACACACACACAGGTAACACGTCTACCGAAACAATAAAGTCTTATAACAACTCAAGGTCCAGCATTATCTCTTGTTATCATGTCTTGTTCATGACACTGAACCAATTTCTTATACATATTTCTCATGAACGTCTTACTTGCTCGTAAACCCCGACCATTAAATCGTGCTGGGTACTGTTCCGTAAGTTGGAGGATAGTTCACTTGTTTACAATTGCATATATCCTTATTTGTTACATTTTCACTGAATTTGTTTGTATTGTAATGTCCTGTGTAATGTGATGACTATACATATAGTTTTAATGGATCACCGAATGAATAGATACTCCCGTTTATTTCACCTGGTGATTAACCCTGAACAAATCGTCTTTCGTTAACTATAATAAAATGCATTAAGGCTACTTTGCCTTCTAAAGAGTTAATAGAGACAGATTTTATACCTAACATAACCTAAACTGACCTAGCCTAACCTAACCTAGCTAAACCTAACCTAACCTCCCCCCCCCCAGCTGAAATAATCTGGGAGGTCTAATTCAGTGATAACTATACCCAATTATCAAACACAGAGTATATTATGATTATAATTTCTAAACGATATGTGTATGTAAAACTCAGACGACAAATGGAGGCAAGATCTCAGAGTTTTCGTACTGCGTGTTTCGCCATGACCAACTATACTCGAGCGTCCCTGAACGTGGTCTGAAATGCAATCGAATATTTGAATATTGAGTCTCCATTTTCCTTGAGAGTTTTATTTATTATGCTATTTGCGTGTGCTTCGTGAAAATATTTGTGATGGATATATAAGGAGAGAGAGAGAGAGAGAGAGTGGAGAGGGAAAGAGAAAACAACCAATACATTAAAATCATCCAATAATTATATAAAAAAAACAAGGCTAAAATATTACATCCATAAAACATTTCGTTCAGATTCTCTCCAGGTGAATTATGACTCAGGTTTATTATGGCTGAAGGTGCTAATGGAGGAGGCCCCACCTATTTACCGGAGTCGTCGGCGCGGGTCATCACTCACCAATAATGAGTGGCACCAGGACGACCTACACACCTGCCTGAGCTACTTCTTATTCATCCTTCCACTTACTAATGTTTTCTCGTCTCACAAAATCTGTCCACCAGAAACTAATATCACACACAAGTTCTGTTTTTTTTGTGTGTGAATTGTATTACTCATTACATTAAATCTGTATTTTGTTCATATTTCTGAATAAAGTTTATGTTTTGGTACTGATCAATATGTTATGGAAGACGACACATTTAGTATATTGCTTGATATTATATGATGATAAAGCCTGCACGTAGACTGTGTTTGTCACCACTGTTGTGATTGTTTGACTATTGCTTGTGTCGTAGAAGAGCTTCATTGCAGGTATATGCGGGCGTACGAAAGTCTGACATAATATCTACCATGGTCTGACCTTGGCATCGACAGAGTGAAAATATTGTTGGTTTAAAGAGAACACCAGACGGATTTCTCTGCTCGTATTTCTATGTCTTCTTGTAGTGCGAGTCACTAGCTCCTGACGAGATTCACACTGTGAAAGGTTCACACTATGGGAGGTTCACACCATGAAAGGTTTACAATGTGAAAATTTTCATATCTGCCACGCGAGGGGCTAGTTTATTGGGCACCACTTTGCATCCTGTGCAAGGAGAAGCACAAAGGCGTTTACAGCGCTCAACAGGGAAGCATGCGGAGTTCATGCTTGCCTTCGTGCCTCATGCATTAAAGACGCAAGTGCCTGAAGGGCCATGAGTCTTGTGAGTAAGTTACATATAGCGACAGTAGGATGTGTGTGTGTGTGCGTGTGTGAGGTTCAAAAACTGAAAGGTTCACACTGTGGAGGTTCACACAGTGAGAGGTACACACTGTGAAAGGTGCACACAGTGAGAGGTACACACTGTGAGAGGTACACACTGTGAGAGGTACACACTGTGAGAGCTGCACACAGTGAGAGGTACACACTGTGAGAGGTACACACTGTGAGAGGTGCACACAGTGAGAGGTGCACACTGTGAGAGGTGCACACAGTGAAATTTTACTGAGAGGTGCACACAGTAGGAAATTTTACCACTGTGAAGTGCCTGATGAGAGTGGCTACTATTGAGGTGCACACAGTGAGAGGTACACACTGTGAGAGGTGCACACAGTAAGAGGTACACTCTGTGAGAGGTGCACAGAGTGAGAGGTACACACTGTGAAAGGTGCACACTGTGAAAGGTGCACACAGTGAGAGGTGCACACAGTGAGAGGTGCACACAGTGAGAGGTACACACAGTGAGAGGTACACACTGTGAGAGGTGCACACAGTGAGAGGTGCACACAGTGAGAGGTACACACTGTGAGAGGTTCATACGGTGAGAGGTTCATACTGAAAGGTGCACACAGTGAGAGGTACACGCTGTGAGAGGTGCACACAGTGAGAGGTACACACTGTGAGAGGTTCACACTGAGAGGCTATACGGTGAGAGGTTCACACTGTGAAAGGTTCATACGGTGTGAGGTTCACACAGTGAGGCTCACACTCAGAAGTTCACACACTGTGAGGTTCCACACACTGTGAGAGGGTCTGCAGAGGTTCACTGCTGAGAGGCTCACACTCTGAAGCTCACACTGTGAGAGGTTCACACAGTGAAAGTTCCACTGCAGGGGTTCACACTGAGGTTCACACAGAGGTTCACACACAGTGAAAGGTTCACAAAGTGAAGAGTTCACACTGTGATTCACTGTGAAAGGTTCACACTGTGAGAGTTCTGATAAAGGGTCACATATGAGGTTCACACTGAGGGTTCACACAGTGAGAGGTTCACATTGGGAGGTTCACACAGTGAAAGGTTCACATTGTAGATTCACTGTGAGGTTCACACTGAGAGGTTCACAGTGGGAGGTTCACACAGAGAAAGGTTCACTGTGAAAGGTTCAAACTGTGAAAGGTTCACCTTGTCAGGGTTCCACACCGTGAGAGGTTCACACAGTGGGATGTTCACACAGTGAAAGGTTCACACTGTGATTCTAGCACGTGAGGGGTTCACACCGTAGAGAGTTCACACAGTGGGATGTTCACAGTGAAAGGTTCACACTGTGAAAGGTTCACACTGTAGAGGTTCACACAGTGGGATGTTCAATGAAAGTTTCACACTGTGAAGATTCACACTGTGAAAGGTTCACCTGTGAGTTCACACAATGAGAGGTTCACACCGTGAGAGGTTCACAGTGGGATGTTCACACAGTGAAAGTTTCACACTGTGGATTCACACTGTAGAGTTCACACTGTGAGAGGTTCAGACAGTGGATGTTCACCTGATGAAAGGTTCACACTGTGAAAGAGTTCACTGATAAGAGATTCCACTGTGAAGAGTTCACACCGTGATGGTTCACACAGTGGGATGTTCACACAGTGAAAGGTTCACACTGTGAAAGTTCACTGTGAGGTTCACACCGTGAGGTTCACACAGTGGGATGTTCACCAATTAAAAGTTTCACACTGTAGAGGTTCACACTGTGAGAGTTCACTGTGAAATTTCAGACGGTGAGAGGTTCACACCGTGAGGTTCTCCTGTGACAGGTTCACACTGAAAAGAGATTCACACTGTGAAAGGTTCTAACGTGAGAGGTTCACACAGTGGGATGTTCACAGTGAAAGGTTCACACGGTGAGAGGTTCACACAGTGAGAGGGTTCACTGTGAAAGGGTTCACACAGTGAGATTCACACTGTGAGAGGTTCACACTGTGGGAGTTCACACTGTGAGACGTTCACACCATGGAGATTCACACCTCAGGTTCACACAGTGGATCACACACTGTGAAGGTTCACACTATGAAGGTTCACACAGTGAGATTCACACTGTGCGAGTTCACCGTGAGATTCACACAGTGGGAGAGTTCACACAGTGAAAAGTTCACTATGAGAGGTTCACACTGTGAGGTTCACACTGTGAGAGGTTCACACAGTGAGAGGTTCCTGTGAAAGGTTCACACTGTGAAGGTTCACACTGTGAGTTCACACAGTGAGAGATTCACACTGAATAGTTCACACTGTGGGAGTTCACACTGTGAGAGAGTTCACATGGTGAGAGGTTCACTGTGAGGTTCACAGTGAGATTCCACTGTAGAGGTCCACACTGTGGGAGGTTCACATGAGGGATTCACACCGTGAGAGGTTCACTGAGATGTTCACACCGTGAGGTTCACACAGTGAGGTTCACCTGTGAGAGTTCATACCGTGATTCACACCGTGAGAGATTCACATTCACACTATGAAGTCCACACTGTAGAGAGGTTCACAGTGAGGTTCACACTGGGAGGTTCACACAATGAGAGATCCTTAAGACACAGTGAGAGGTTCACACTGTGGAGGTTCACCAGTGAGGGCTCACACTGTGGGAGTTCACACTGTAGAGGTTCACACCGTGAGAGGTTCACACTGGGGACACACAGAGGTTCACACTGTGGGAGTTCACACCAGAGCTTCATACAGTGAGAGGTTCACACTGTAGGAAGTTCAGACAGTGGAAGGTTTGAGAGGTTCCTGATCAGATTCACACTGAGGGTTCACACAGTGAAGGTTCACACTGTGAGAGAGTTCACACAGTGAAGGTTCACACTGTGAAAGGTTCACATTAGCGGAGTTCACACCTGAGAGTTCCACAGTGGAGAGACCACACTGTGGGAGAGTTCACACTGTGAAGAGTTCACACTGTGAGAGTTCACAGTGTGAGAGTTCCCCACACCTTGAGAGGTTCACACTGGAGTTCACATAGAGAGATTCACA